AAACTTCAAACTAACAAAACAGTAAATATGAAAGATGAATGACATCTTACCAAAACAGACCCTTCTATTTTCATTTGCTCTTTGTCCCTTTAATATGGTACACTGGAGCTCTCCAGAGATTAATGGAGTTCCAATTACATGCCACTGTTATTTCACTTATTATAATTTGTACATGGCAGTGTAAGTCCCCTGTATTCATGACTTTCCCAGTTTACCCAGAGGGAATATCTTTGGAACTTTCTACTTCTAACAGACAGGCAGTACTTAGGCTAATGATTAAAGCTTGCCACACTCACTAAGTGAAAATGAACGTGTGCTATAAAAGAAAGCCAGCTATCAACACTGTGGGATCAATTGACACTCTTATGCTTTAATATGATCGATTAAAAACTCTAATTAGGAATACTAAAATTTCAGTTTCTTCAGTGTATTACACCTGGGCTGGACTGTGACTGGAACTCAGATATAGAGTTGGGTATAGAAATATAAACATTCTTCCTATTCCAGTCGGAGATGAATTTTACATTTTTGGTTCATGTGATTGAACTGGAAATGATGCCTCAACATTGAATGAATCCCCGTTTTTTAATACTGATTCCTTTCAAGGTTAAGAATTCATCAGTGCTTCTTGATTTGAATGTTCTGAATAACAACATTACTTGTTGTCGCATTATCCAATATACAATCCTTGGCGTAAAATCCTCTTGATGTCTGATTACTCTTCATAAGGACCTCATGCTGGTTCATTTCAAACCGTGAATTACCTTTAATTCATAGCTTGAACATGCTGCCAAATTGTTTTCCATGCTCCCAGGTGGCTGTCCCTGACACAGTGGAGAACTTCCAACAAGCCATTAGATACTTATGAAAAGTAGTTAGATGTCAAGAAGCACATTTCCATTTTCAAACAGGCTTCCATCAAGTATTACGATAATCTTTGGGATTAGAAAAGTACTGGTATTTACTGAAATTTTTTAGAACTGTGAAGTGAAATCCTGGCCCAACTGAAACCAGTGGTGAGCCCCCTTTGAAAAATCCTTGCTGAAATATCGCATAAAGAGTTTCAGCTGCTTGTTTTGTTTTTGAGCCCACTGTATTTAGCTGTTCTCTAGCCCCCACACAGGTTGTGTATCATTAAGTATGATGGATAACAAAAACTCTATAAAGATAAAATAAGTTGGTTTTGACTGATCCATAAAAATTTGCTGCTCTAAGTTTTTAAATGGTTTCCGGTAGTTCAATGAGCCCATGAGAAGGGCCTTTTAATGTTGTATTAATACAGTAAGTATAGGAAGTAATTTTATGACAGGGGAAGAATACCATTATGATTACATTCTTCTTTTTAGCTAGGCTTTTATGGAAACTACCCAAGACTACTCTGCAGTATGATTTCGAAACACAGGATGTGCTTGATTAAAAAGGTTCTGGGTAGTTTCCAACTGGACAGAGGCCAAATGCTAACAACCAAATCAGAACAAAAGGACTGGATGTTTGAGGATGACATACTTGCAGTGGTAATTACATAACAGAAACCTAAGTCGCGAGCCGAGTTCGTACCCTCAAATTCATGGAAGTTGACAGAAAATCCTTCTCAGTGCAATTGGTTGCACCTTATCTGTTCCTGCTTACTATGTTTCATAATAAACTAATCAGAGTAGACTGGCTGAAAACTGGCTGCACAATATCCAATGGAGATTTACAGTGAATTTGTAATAAAAAAAAAGGGAAGCCAAGTGCTGTAGTTTTACATTGCCGGATTTCAGCTATAAAAATTCACCACAGTATAGACACACGCATGTGCATCAGTGTTGAAAATTTCAAGATTTTTGAGTCAAAAGTAGGATCTGAGGTTAGTTACATGTACACGTACTCATGTACAACATAGGTGCAGAATTTAGACACAATCCCAACTACTCTACCTTCTGTTTTACCTGCTGTGAAGCGTTGGAGATCGGGTTTCTCCAGCATGTGGATGTAATGAAGTACATTGAAATAGGATAAAAAGAATGAAATTCGTATTTCAGAAGGCTTTACTTAGACGAGAAGTCACGCACCTTGCAACCCCCTACAAAAGCAAGACGTTGGCCAATTAATCTGTCTTGCGGTATGTTGCCTCCATTCTTCCCCCTAGAAGCATGCACCTGAAAGGTTATCTTGCAAAGATCATACATCCCTTTGGTCTGAGCTTCAGTGATGCCAATGTTTCTACACCTGAATTCTGTAATGACATACAGGCAGCTTGGCTGCTGGAGCAGAATACAGCATTATGAAGGTAAAGTATCTTTGTTCTGCACACATCGCTCAACTAGTCATGGTATAACCCAGTGATATGGTGAATGCAAGCACATTACCACCAATTCCTACAGATTTCTGACAAAGCCAATAGAATCTATAAGACTGTCACTAGGACCAATGTAAATGGAAAATATAATGGAAGTTTTACTTGAATTGCATGTAAACTTAGAAAAGTTGGGGAGTAGAAACGTGTCCAGGTTAAACCGTCTCTGACAAAGCATACAGATGAACAAATGCAAATTCAGTCAGATTTGATCAAACTGAAATACAGATAACAGATCCCATTGACAAAATATATAAGGAATTGGCGGGGGCTACAGTTTTGAAGTCAGTAAGATCACGCTGTGTGCTGACAGTGTAACAACAAATGTTACAGGGGATAAGCTGGACTGTAATACAATCAAATATCCCTGAAACTGACCCACGTTAGAAAGATTGAATCCTTCTTAATACAACTGCTATCTGATAAATAGTATATTATTAAAATACACAATGACTGCAGGAGCTGTCAATCTATCAGGGTTTATATGCATCACACTATCCAGCTCTACTTGATACCATTAGGTCTTTCTGCCCCACTCTCTGCTTTAATTTCATTATGTCCTCAAGTACTGTAATTCCCAGTGAAAGTGGTGGTAACTGCACACGCAGATCTAAAGAAACAAATTGGCCTCGTAATACCAAGTCTCACAGTGGACTGCCTTCTAACCTCCCAAAGCCCTATGGAAATTCTTAGAAGCTGCCTTAACAATTTTTCTGCAGTAAAAGAGAAAAAGTGATAGTAATGGGTTAGCTGATCTTCATTTGGAAGCTAAAAATAAAAGTAGCTTTATTGCAGCTCTGATCTCTCATGTGTAAAATCTATCACCTACCATAAGAAGGCAGTTCATTGCAGCAGAAATCTGATTGATAGTACTGGAACTTTAGATCAAGCAGCAGAACAGAGAGCAACTGGTTCATAAAATGTACTCAGTGTCTTCAGGTTTTATATCAGGCTTCCTATAGAGAGCTTTGGTCCCATTAAATGCACTATATACCACTGAGCTCTGAAGCACTGTTCTTTTGAAATTCAGCTTATAACTATAAACCATGATTGACAAGTCTATTACTGTTGGTTACAAACTATTGAAATATTGTATTTTATGGTATACTCACTAAAATACTTTTCACAGTGGAATCCAAATACACTTGCTTTAGGAGAAAAATCATTTTAAGATGTAATAATATTTTTTTACTTTTTTTTTTTACTACAGAATATGCTCGATGTTAGGTTTGGATCACTTAGATGTTCTGAAATATGAATGCACCCATTCTGTTACCAAGAACAGTGGGTATAGTTGGCTAGATTCTTTAAAAAAAACAAGCCATTACTGGAAATCAAATAGCAAAGAGCAAAAACTAATTTGTTACTAAGTTTCATAAATAAATGCTATTCATGCAAATTAATCTTTTTTATCATTAGCATTCCTGTCCAATACTCATTCAATCTGAAAAAAAAACCCATTTCATTTTAAAACTGAATTAGTTGTTTAACCATAATTTTGTAAAGTTTTACTCAACAAATTTTATTTGAATGAGTACTTCCATGACTTGAGTTTATGAGTGAAGAACTGGACGTTCAGAGCCTGGGGAGTACATCGATGGATTCAGCACCCACTAGATGCGGGACTAGCCTAGTCATGGTCACAGACAAAACACAACGCTACAACACAACTACAACACGTCCTTCCCTGTACGCAAACTTGCACTAAGAATCAATATATTTAAATTCATTTTAAAAACCTATGTAGGTATCTCTGCATTGATTTTTCTTCCCCTATAGGGATTTACTTAAAATTGTGCCCTTAGTAGATTAAGGGGAACGACCAGAATAATTTTCAAGTAATTTTAAATGAACATATTGTATTTACACAAATGTCAGTTAAGCTCGTGCAGATCTGCATTCAGTAGTTTAAAACACTTGAACAGTAAAAAAAATAGCAGCTCTGAACTGAAATCAGACCCACACATTTTCAGAAGTATAAAACCAACAACCAACTTTTCAAAGTTATTATTTAATTCCTGTTTGTAAATTACTTCGAGATCCTGGGCTAAAAGTAAAAAACCAGTTTGGTCTCAACTCACTGCTGCATTATTGCAGCCTTACACCAGAGAAGCACCAAAGAAAAATAGTTTAACACAATGGAGACTTAGCTCTTCCACAATTTCCAACTGTCATATTTATAGATCATCTGTGATTTTCAGCTGTTTCGAAGTGTATGAAACTCAAGACCAGCTTTTCAACACCAGCTAGTAGAATCATTGTGCGATGTGTTTTACTCTCTCTCACTGTATGAATGTTAAAATTCCTGCATCATCTGTTCATTGGGTTGCATTTTCTATTGTAAGAGGCTTAGTATCTGATGAGAGAAGCATAAAAGTGATTTAATTTTGGCAAGCTGTACAACTAAAATCAGCATTATTTCTGCTTAATAAACTCATCTTTCACACATACCTCTGTTAGCTAATGCTTAAAAAGAAGAAAGAATAATAAGCACTGAAAACATAAAACTGGTTTATGGCTAATTTTTAAGGACTACTGAGAACACCTGAACACCAGGACAAGATTATGAGCAGAGCTAGATTTTAGTTACCTTTGGAGAAATAAGCTCATTCTTTATGATAAATTTAAAATGAGATTTAAAGCTGGAAATAATAATACTTACGACTTTTGTGGCACTGACTTAGTTGCAACTTTCCCTGCTGGATCACTCCACTCTGCAAACAAAGGAAACACATTTTCAAATGTCAAAAGATTACTGTAGAATTAAAATGCACGCAAAGCTGTCAGCCCATCTAATTATACTTGGTTTCACAACATGCCACAATGCATAACATGTAATAAAAAATGGAACTGATCTGCTTTAGCACCACAGAAATTAATTTTTTAGCCTTTGTTTTAATGATGTTAAGCAGGAGAAAAAAAATACCCAACCCTGACTGTTAGGACTAGGATGATAAAGACCTACTTTGTACATTGTATCCTGAGGTCAGATGTTGGGAGTCCTACAAAGAAGAACACACAAAATGTCAGCATTAGTTAAATAAGATGAAGAAGGTAAGATATATCTTAGCCTGCTAGATTAAGGGCACTGGCATTACACAAACGGGGAAGGAGATGGTACGGGGAAGGGATCATGTGATTGTTAAGGCAGCACCAGTGACATTAGTTTAAAAAAACATTAACTGTGGAGACAGAGCACCACTGAGGGACCCTTTCACAGCTCAGACAAGAGCTTGTCCTCAGCTGCTGTAAATCTACATACCTGCTTTACGGAGGCACTGCACAGATTTATACCCGCAGTGGTCCTAGCCTTTTCCAGGCTTGGCCATGGATGTGTCTATGAGCCATCTATGATGTACAATTCAGACCGCAGCATGAATGCAACTGTGCATTGAATTCAGCACCACTGCCTTTCTTTTTTTTTATCTCACTGCTTGGAAATACAGTAACCTTCTATTGACAGTCACTGTTTTTATTTGGACTGTGACACATGGGATTTGATAAAGATGCAGGAAGCAGATCTTCACCTGATGGAAAGTGGTCCGAATCCAAGGAAATCAACGGAAGCCCAACAACTTTAAACCAGCAAAGAATCTGGCTTGTAGCACCGAGCATGCTAATGCTAGGGTTCTTGTTGGCTCACAATAACTAAGCTGCTTCCTTAATGTCACAGTGTTTTCTTGCTTGGTTTTTCTCTAGGCTTTATAGTCCACAGTGATTGTAATCAGCTTTCCTTCCAAGCAGAGTCTGATCATTTGAAATTAAGGTGTTATTTACAACCTCATCTTACAGCCAGGCACTACTTTGCTGGAAGTGTTAGTTCTGTAGGATGTTAAAGTCATTAAAGCCCTCACTGCACTTCCTCTTAGGGCATTATTAGTTCCTAATATTATACTGTGCTGTCAGTCAGTCCCTTGTGAAGTAAATCATGCCCTAAGAGTAAACATGGCACTTCAAATTTGAATGTCAAAGGGATAAATTGTTCTGATAAGTTCCGCTTTTTTATCACACTTTTTATATACGTTTCTCATGAGGATACTTTTTTTTTTAATAGTTAAATTGAGAACTTCTAATAGGGCCCGTCTCTGGTTTATATGGCTGCACATTCTAGCCGCATTATGTCTAAGATCTATAATTTGGCTAGCTATAATTGATTTAATGTGATGTTCTGAAGAGACATTTCTGTTGTATTTTTTAAAGAAAAACTAGCAAACTTGGAAGCATTTATGTGCTTGCCTATTTCCTGAAATGCTAGCTCAAAAAAAAAAATCTAATTTATATTTTGTATTGAAGTGATATGGTCAAGAATTTTAGGATCAACATTTAACATACCCAGAAATTAACTTTGATGTGGGTCTTAAAAGTTCAAAGCAAACTTAATAGAAACAGAAAAACAAACCAAAATTTTAGCGTCTCTGAACCTATGCTTATACTGCTGCCAATGGAGATAGCGTCAGTCTGCAGGACTTAGACCAATTTCCGTAGGGCGCATCAAAAACAGAGCACTAAATAAGAGATGGTATAAATTAAAAAAATATAGCTTCCAGTGGGCAAAATCCTCTACTCTCCCTGTATGCACACAGGTCAAACTCCACTTTCACCTAAATGGGCTCAACTGACTTTAACCAATTTGCCATGAGGATTATACTCTCGTATGGTTATGACTTCTGATGCTTCATGCTGCAGCATTAACTGCAGGGACAGTGGCAGTGCTAGAGCAGTAACAATCACATGCCATTAAAATAAGGCACTCTGGGCACTGGCTTTGTTTTTTTAAGGAGCCACAGATACTGCTAATTTCATATGATTTCCAATTAAGTATGGCGGCTGCACTTCAGACGGGGGAGTATCTGCCAAACAGGTAAAATCGGTAAAAGGAAAATCACATTCCACCTTCTAAAACAGGATATGATTGCTTGAATCATATCAAGCAGTACCAGTTTTATAAGCTATTTTCCAAGGTCCTGCCTTTAGAAAGCAACTTTTATGTAGCTCCATGTCAGGCTGGCGTAGATTTCTCACCCTGAGGAAGTTCTCCCCTTCCCCAAACACCATCAGCTCACGTTGTTCAGGTCCCAGCAAAAGATACCTCTGGCAATAATTGCCCTGGGTATGAGCTCGATCTCTAACAGTGCCACCAGAATCACAGCCGAAGGCAACAACAGAATTTGGGTTAAAGGCATGTTCAAATCACACAACTTAATGATTCACTGTGTGTTAGGTGAACTGCAGGTACTCTCCAGGCCCATGCTTTAGACGTGGCAAGTGCTGAGTGAGCGTGTGCTTTTAACAAGGCCGATACTGAGGATTGTGCAACTTCATGTGCCCTTGGAGTGTGCACACAGACAGATGCCATAGCACTGTTCACATGCAGGAACATTTTAAGTCACCGTTAATTTGACCATACCACCTAAACCTCATCATGCAATCAATCGCTAAGTAGGAACAAATGACCATTTCAGCCATTGCATTGCACAGATAATAATGGAAGAAAAACAAACAAATAAAATGTATTGTACTTGATGCAGAAAAACTCTTATAACAACAGAGATAAAGTTCACTTTGCCTCTGCTGTAACTTCTGCAGCTTTAAATAAGCAGTCCTACTAGTAACAACAGTCTGATTGGGAATTTCCAACTAAAAATAGTCTTAGAAATGTTTTAAAATGGAACCAATTACAAAAATAAACTCTCCAGCGAAGAACACTCAACAGAACAGAATGTTAATCAGGTCACTGGTAATAGCCTACTTGTACCTTGCTTGGGATAGAAAACTTGGTCTGCTCAGCCTTGCCAGGAGTGTGAATAGCAGTAAGAGGAGGAGGCCAGGAATGGGTCATCTCCTAGGGAAGAGAAAAAACATGTTTTTGAAAACAAATTCATGTACATAAAGAACAAAGAGAGGAAAAAAATGACCATGTGTTCTCCACTGAGCCTGGCAATGCAATTGCTTAAGGAAGCATCACCACCCATCCTTATGTGGTAGATGAACATCTTAACTACCCAACAGGCAGCGCTTCCTGGGAATGAGGGTGAGGACAGGTTTTGCTCTTGAAAATTTTGACCATCTGCATCTTCATCAGGTGGTGGCTGACTCCACTTCTGTGGTCAGCCTGTCAAGCTGTATGAATGAAGCCGTATCATGGGTATAGAACAGGTTTTTACCTGCAGAGCCCAAGCAGGAAGCAGATCCCTCCTGTATCAAACTGGATGCAACCCTATAGAAGATTGCAGGGTGGCAAAACGCAACCCTATTCAAAATTGCACAGTGTCAAAATAAACCAGAGGCAGGTCTAGAAAAAGCTGGAGTGGGCTTGCAGCATGAATGCCTGGTGTAGAAGAGAGCAGGGACAGCGTGCTATGCACCAAAGCATCTTCTCATAGCACTGCCCATAGGCACCTACTGTGGTATGCAATGTCACAGCATCAGAGCACTATCGATTCCATTCTAACATGAGGGACTGAGAGATCAGGTCATTTGCCCAGGGTTACACAGAAAGCCTGTACTTAACTAAGAAATCCAAGTCTCTGGTGAAGACCTGCCTACCAGACCATCTAAGCAACATGCCCATTTTCTGTATCAGTGTGTTAATGCATCATTTGTACATGCGTGTTCCAACTGTCTTCAAAGAAATCACCTGGGTGCCCATGACTGTGAAATACAAGCAGAAGAGACAGTGCACACCCTGCTTTTTCACCCTGAGGCCTAGAACCGCCGCCCCACCGAGCTCGGCGGGAGCAGACGGGGGCTTATGTCAGAGGAGGGGGAAAAATCAGTAAAACAGAGAAACTGCAGAAGTGTTGTTTTAGGCAGAGCTTGCAAATGCCCTTCTAATGAGTGTGTTTTATGGTAGATGTTGCTCCATTCTCTCTTATCTTTGTTTTTAATTTAATAAATATTCAGAGAGGCAGTAATACTTGTCTCTGGCAATCTGTTACATCTTTGTCTTGGTTGTTTTTCTTTGCCTACCTAGCTCAGAAAGGATTCTTTCTTGAGGCAAGGGAGACAGAGCAAAAGAGGGCCTGATCTAAGAAATTTTGCATGCAATGGCCATAATCCTGACTGCAGTAAACTAAACTTCCCAGCTGCTATTTCACACTGGTCAAGCCCAGAGCCAGTCACAAGAAAGCTTATGAGCACCCAAGTTTCTGTAGGTAACATGACAACCACTGCAAACACTTCACAAATAAAAATATAACATAATACAATTAATTAAAGAAAATATAACTGTTGTCAAAAGGGCAGTGTGGTGGGTGCATTTGGGCTAAAGACATGGCCTGAGTGGCTACAGCTGGATGCTAATGTGTCCTTCACTGAATATACAGCCAGCAAGTTTCAGGTCTCCAGCTGTCCCTCACAAATCGTGTGTCATACAGGAGGTTAGGAGAGAGAAAGGAAAACTATGCACCACGGTCCTTAGTCAATGGGACAGGCAGACATGCAAACTTCCCCCAAGCTCCTGTTAGGCACTAGTATTTTATTGAAGCCCATCAAACTTCCACCCTTAGCAATGCTGCTACTGCAGCAAGGTCTGGCTAAGCCCCGCAAGGGACAGAGCCCAGGAATGACCACTATGGAGGGGAGCCCTCACCGGGTCCTGGCGGAGGCAGGAGGGCAGGGCTGGTCCGGCAGCTCGGCCCCACTGGGCTCTGCCGCTCTGCTTCCCCCCGCGCAGCGCACCATGGACACGCTTGGGGCTTATCTAAAGGGCCACACAGCTACAGGCAGCGCAGCCTCGGGCCAAGCTTTGCCAGTTCCTTGTGCCCAGGAAGATGACCCAGGGACAGGGGAGGGTGCAGATGTCTCTGCACTCCTAAAAGAGCTTTTGTGTTTCTGCTTGTGGAGCTCAGGGCCTGTTTTCATTGCACAAAGCCCAAATGGTGGCAATGAGGAGCAAAGAGGCAGCTCTTGCACAGCTCATCCCTCCTGGTGGGTGAGGCTGCGGCAGCTCAGCGCAATGACGAGAAGTACACTACTCTATTGTGCCGATTGTTTGACCTCTGCACAGAGGAAGGCAGAAAAAGTTTTAAGCATCTAGTGAACTTTTCTGTGAGATAATGTAATCCAAATCCGGCATGCCTCTGCCAAATCCTATGCCAGAGGTTGCTTTGTGGCAAATCTCTTCATAGCAAAACGATGAAACAGAGACTACATCACATAATTAAAAGAGGGACAGGCAGCCTGACTGAAGGCAGAAACGAAGCATAGTCTAGAACTGCAATTACAGGCTTGACCTCAGTCTCTTCCTGCCCACGCATAAAAGGCTGGACAGAGAGCCTAGGATTCATGGGAAGGTGACGCCAGCAAATATTTTGGAATATTCACTGTCAAAATGCATCTAGTGTCCACTGCGTACCAGCTCAGCAGGCTGAAGTGTAAGCAAATCTAGTCATCTCCCTGTTAGAGGACACCTGAACATAAAAAGTGGGAAAAGGAAAAATGAGTCTGCTATTATCTGAGGAAATTCAATTAGAAGGTAAGAAATTCTGACTCCACTGAGGTCAGAGGCAAAAGTCAACTTCAGTGAGGCTAGGACTATCCAATCTATGTGTTTACAGAGTGACCTTGTGGGCATCAAAGTCTATTAGGAAGGTACAAGCTAGCTACATTGAAGCATTTAATTTCAATTATCACTGTAATAAAAATTATTGGATAGAAAATTCCAGACATGCAAAACAACACAAATATTTAAAGCTTGGCGTTTAAAAAAACACTGTGTGTGGAAGTGGTGAGGAAGTATATAGTTACGTAAAGAAACATAGCTACATCTACCTACAGATAGGTGCCATAGCACTGTTGACCAAAGAATCTTCAATGACCGTAGAGAAAGTTTTGAGTTTACTCATACGAAAAATGTCACTTCAAAATGTACGGGTAGCAACCCCAGACTGACCACCAGGCAGCTGCACGTTATACTCACGCAGAGCACTACTGAGCTACAGAATGACACACAGAAATGGCACTGCACAGCTTTCAGTGCAGGGTCAAAACCCCAACCCCACATCCTGCAGAGATGTGACCCTCTGCTTAACTCTCTCCCACTCTGTTCCTGAAGCACATGCCCATTACTCTGGAGAATCAGAAGAAAGGATGTCATTTGTTTAATCATCCACATGACTTCACCATTCTTTGCTATGCCCCAATTTCTTTTGGAGGTCCCTTATCTTTAAGTACTCGCTAAGCTCTACTTTGTTTAACTTGTGAAATCTGATATATCTACCTTCTAATACGTTATGACCATAAAGAACCACACAGACAGTGTGTGTGTTGTGTATGCAGCCATTAAGATGTATATGGAAACATCTTGGTTTGTAAATACCTGGGAAAGTAGGCAGGGAATTGCATTCATTTTTTTTTTTTTCCCAGGAAAAGTTAAAAAACTTTAATCAACCCAAATTTGGAAGTATTTAGAAATTCCTGGAAGTAACAATAATACAACTGAGCATATGAAATGCTTTAAAGAGGAACTGAATGGAAACAAAGTAATCCCACAAAATTGAGTTAGGATTTATTTTCACATGGTTTGGACTTAAAATAATTCCAAAATCATGTTAACTGTTGGAGTGGGTAGATGACTGCTATGGAAGCATGCATTTCTTTATAGACCTGGAGATTAAATGAGAAAGTAAACCTGCACAGTTTGTTGGCTTAAAAGTCACTGTGGTCCTCTGATGTAGTAACATCAAGCATCCTCCTTTCTGAAAATTATTTAAACATTGTTTTAATTGACTCCATGTGCTTTATTTATTAGAGCTAGGCACGCTCGTCTCTTCAGCTCAGTCTGCTTTTTTCAGCTATAAAAGCCCTCAGGTAAGTAACTAAGAAGGACACATGCAGATGCAATCTAATGAATCACCAAAAATACAAATACTCCAAGCAAACTTTTTAAGAGCTGCAGAGGTACAAGGCCAAATCACGATTTAAACGGAAGGAGAGGACCGGGGAAGGATTTAAACTTGCAAGTTTCTAAGGAAAAGGTCAGAGCGAGAGAATTGAGTACAGGGAATACGGGGCAGATGGTAAATAGCTTTACAAAACCAGTCCCTAAAATTAATAGCCGCCTTCAAGATTTATTTCCTTTCTCTGTGTTTCATTTTTCCACCATTTCCTTCTTGTTCAAAAGAAAGTGTGCAGTGTTTTTAAATACAGATAAAAGCACTGAGCCAGGCTCTAAGAGGTCATTATGGAAAAAAGCAGCTAGACTGTGTACTCTGCGTTCCTACCGCGGCAGCTTCCCTTCCTACAGTGCACTCTAAACTGCTTAGCCTGATCTAATTTGAAGTCTCCCAAGATATAGGGCTCATGCTACTTCCCTTGGGAGAATTGAGGGGAGACATGAGAGCAGTCTTCAATTACAGAAAGAGCTGTTGCTAAAGGAGAGAATAATCTGTTCTCCAGTTTTATGGTGGATATGAACTGAAACTGCAGCCAGCGAGATTCCAGTGAGACATAAGAAAAAGCTCTCGAATGGTAAGGATGGCGCAGCACTGAAACAGATTGCTCGGAGAGCTACACAGACTCCTTCTTTGGAGGAACACACTTAAGAACAGATTAACACACATCAGTCAGGAATGGCTTAGGCAGAATTGATTCCTGCATTGGGACAGGGATGTGTAGTAGATGATGAGATTTCTAAGACCCTTCCCAGCCCTTTTTCTTGTTCTGTAGTTTGATAGATCTCTGTTGGCCAAACGCTACCCTCACTGCCTCTCTTGTGGATAGCAGATCCACAAAAAGGCAGAGGAAGAAAGCAACAATCCCAGTGTTTTTCTTCTGTGGCCTTACAGTCCACAAAGGCAGTTTCAGGCTGACACTTTGCCCACATCATTAGAGGGCAGCCAG